CGAACATCTCTGCTAGGTCGGTCAAGTGGTCGGCCTCACATTTGCTTTTGACCACCATGTCATCGATGTAAGCCTCCATCGTGTGGCCGAGCAGTGGGGCGAACATCTTGGTCACCATTCTTTAGAAGGTCGCCCCGGCATTTTTTAAGCCAAAAGGCATGACTTTGTAGCAGAACAATCCCCTCAGTGTTGTGAAAGAGGTAATCTCCTGGTTAGGCTCATACATGGCGATCTGGTGATAACCACAGTATGCATCGAAGAAACTGAGTCGATTGTATCCGGCTGTAAGGTTCACTAGCTGGTCGATTTTAGGCAAAGAAAAACTATCTTTGAGGCAAGCTCGGTTGATCGTCTTGTAGTCGACACAGACTCACCATTTCCCATTCTTCTTTGGTACCACGACCGTGTTAGAAACCCACCAAGGGTAATGCACTTCCTGGATTGCCCTTGCTTCAAGCAAGTTTTTGACCTTCTCTGCCACTACCTCGGCGTGATGAAGAGCTGATCTCTACGTTCTTTGAATAACAGGCCGGGCATCTGGAAAAACATTGAGTTGGTGGCAAATAAAGTTTGGATCGATGTCAGGCATGTCGTTAGGCGTCCATGCAAACACTTTGATATTCACTACAAAGAACTGCACCATCTCCAGCCGTTCTTGGGCGGTCAACCTGGATCCTAACAGAAAGAACTTGTTTGGTTATCTTCGCTGATCCACCACACCTCCACCAAATCTTCAACAGCCTTTTCTTCGGCCCTAGTGCCCACATCATCCAGGACACTTTGATTTTCCGGACCTTCGATCATTTGTACGAAGCCTTTGGCCTCTTGGCTCCCATTCACGGTCACGAAACACTGCGTGGCCATGACCTGATCGCCCCAAATCTCTTCAATCACCCCCGTAGCAAAGGGGAACCTCATAACTTGGTGGTAGGTCGATATCACTGCTTGCATGGCATGAAGCCATCTCTTGCCTAGGATCATATTGTATGTGGAGGGCACTTTCAACACCCAGAACTCCACCTGCTTGACCACAGATCCGGCTTTGACCGGTAGGATTATCTTTTCCATGGGCCACTCCGGTTGCGAGTTAAAACCAACCAGTGGTGAAGTTGCTAGAGCCAAATCTGGAGCCAAATCTGTATCTCTTAGTTTGAGCTGCTTGAAGGCGTCGTAGTACATGATCTCGACCAAGCTACCTTGGTTGATCAAAATGCGTTTAACGTCAAAGTCCCTGACGCGAAGGGTCAGACTACCAGAGCGTCATTGTGCGGTGTTTGAATCCGCTTAAGTTCTCGATTTGAGAAACTGAGCACATTTTGCTCCTCGGTTCTATCTCTTTTGGTCGTGGGCTAGATAGACAGGACTTCCCTCATATGTTCTACTTTTTTTATCATCCCTCGGAGCTCGCATACCCGCTCTGGCTCAATGATACCATAGATCACATTGACCACTCCTTGGGGTGGTGCTTCTAGGGCGGCCAAACCATTTGACTCAGCCGGAGCATGATGCGCAGCCTTGTTGCCCCGTCCAAGTGACCAGCAGCGACCAACTCCTTTAAGTGTTGTTTCAAAGGAAAACAGTCCTCCGTACGGTGCCCTCATTTACCATGAAAGGTGCAACGATACCGCGGATTGAAACCCTTCCGCACATCGCCCAACTTAGCCAGAAACCAGACGTACACCTCGTCGCGGATTTCGCTAAGGATGAGGTAAATTAGGATCTTGAAAACCATAGTGATACTTGTTCGGGCGTTCAACTTTCTATTCGTATCTGTCGCAACGTTACGGGGGTAATCAGCATGGTCGTTGCGGCGACCTTTACCTCAGTTACTGCGATCTGCACTACGGTCTGACTCTCTTGCGTGGTCACTCGGACGGTTTGCCTCTTGTCCGACCGCGTGAACTTTTCCAGCCACCCTTTTGTCCGTTGCCATCGGATTCGCCTTCACGGTGGCCGTGGTTGCATTATTCTCTACGCAGATGTGCTCGTTGATGCGGTGCATCAATAGCTCCATGGTAGTTGGTTGGTTCATGGTGAACGAGTCCCTCAGTCTATGTCCGACTTGGAGATCGCACTTGTATTGGGTGATTGCTAGGTTGGTCGGGCAATCAAGGATCTCGTTGAAGGTTTCCTAATATTTGGAGTTGTATGCTTTGAGGGACTCGCCCGATTCCATCTTGAAGCTCAGAAGGTGGTCAACCTCCTTTGGCGTTTTGGTGTTAGTTTTGAATCAGGTCTCGAATGCTTCCGCCAACTGCTGTCACCTTTCGATAATTTCCTCCAGTAGCCTCTCAAACCACTTCAGGCCCAACTCACTCAAACTTGACGGGAAAATAAGGCACATGAGAATGTTGTTACGCCTGTATCCAGCCATAACTTTCCAGAAGTGGCTTACGTGCATGTACGGATCGATTTTACTGTCATAGAACGTAAACTTGGGCTGGCAGAAGCCCGCAGGGAGCGGTGTGGTCTCTATCTCAAAGGAAAATGGGGTGGCGCTTAGCCTTGCCAAGTCTCTGTCCAAAGGGACAAGTGCAGCTAGCTATGGTGGCGGCATTACAACCTCCTCACTAGTGTGACCTCCACGGGATAATCGCTACAGCGTCGTTACCCTTTGCGCCTCCCGTCAGCACGCCCGTTCTTCTAGGATGTCCCTTAGGTCCTCTGAATGGGCAGAGTAGGAATATCTCGACGTCGTCGATGGATGTGAGGGACGGTAACTACTATCCTGTGCGCTAGACTTCTCTACTGGTGGATTGGAGTCTCCAACCCCATAGTTTCTAGTGATGGAGAGTGAGGGTGTCCATCGCTGACTCTGGCTACCTAAGCGATGAGGTTGGGTGCACTCACTGTGGTCACTCATTCCAGCAACACCCTTCCCTTTGACCTGTCACTGTAGTGCCTCCATCTCCGCCGCCATCCTTCAAATGATGGTGTCTTGATCTCTCAAGTTATACTTGAGGTGCTGAGCGTGCGATTCTCTTCGCTGCCGGTGCTCGTCGGGGCTCCGTGAGTGATCAGTACTCCTTGCGCGCTTATCTCGCACATCTTTGTGGAGTTTTCTAAGAGAGGTCTCCAAACCAGCCATGGCAGGGATGATAGAAAGACCATCTCTTCTCTAGACAGACTTCAGGGTGATACTGTCGATGGCGGACAATAGTCCGTCGTTGTTGTTCTCTATGAAAGATGATTGGAAGAGCCTGGAGGACAAGGTTTTGTTTACCGGAGAGAGCTTTCCCATAGACCGCGCCAATTATACGGGAGCCAAATATTCGACGTTACCCGTACTTCTTGTGTCCAAGCTGCACTATACTCCGATCGACTTGAGAAAGCTCTCTCCGGTAAGTTACCCGGCGGTGTGCTGTCCAATGGTGTGCTGTCGGAAAACCCCTCTAACGATCAAGTTAGCACACTTAGGGAGAGAGAAAAAGAGAGAGAGAGAGAGAGACGAAGTTGTAGGTGAGTTCTTATCAGAGGAAGATCTAGACCTAATTTTGGGGGCGCAGCTCCATTTATATAGCTTGTGTGTGTGTTTTTGTGTCCACTCACCATTGGATGCGTGGACCTGCTCTCGTCTCCCCTGTTCCTACGTGTCAGCGCAAATACAACTAAACACCACCTAACAAAACTGCCAAATGACTTTAACGTGCACAGGTAGTGCAATCCCCTTCTTGCAGTCTCGTGGCGCCGCATAGCACTCTTAACCGAGATACGTTCGATACGGAGCCATGCCATCACTCAACAATCGAGCTACTTGTCCGGTTTCTCTAACAACTCTGTACAATGGCTCAACCGAGCTCCTTGGCTACAGTAGAAGCTCGGTTCACCATGCCAAAAAGACTAATCTAGCCCAACTCTGAATAGTGCATAACTTCCTGGACCGGTCATCCACCATTATTCTCTCCCAACTAGAATAAGACCTCGGTTTAGTACACACTTAAGACAGGCCAAGCAAAAACTCCTGATTCTGGCCCAACCAGCTAGGCCCAAAGTTTCAGTCACAAACCTCCCTCTCAGGTGTAAATTACACTTTGCACCCTACACTTTATATTCAATCTCACTTTGATCCCTTATCTTTCAATTATAGTAGTTGAATACCTACATTTATAGTCAAATGCCGATCTTCCCTTGAGTCTAGATTCATTACAAATATTGATGAAAATCATCCACACTAGGCCTACTAATTCGGAGGGAGGGAGACATTGACACTTGATTATAACTCTAAGAGCATCTCCAATGATACATGTCATTTTAGCATTGTCAAAGCCAAAGTTTGGCTAGCTACAGTACTAAAATTCCAAATTATAATAATGTGCAATTTGCTAGTGTCTTGAAAATTTGCTCAAACGAGATAAACTGTCACTACAAGAATTAACACTTTTGCCAACCAAAAAATTGGTCGCTAAAAGCCCATTTTTAGTCGACAAAAGTTATCCGTGACCAATTTTTTTGGTCGCTACTTTGGTCACCAATTGAGGGTCGGCAAAAGTAATTTGCAACCAAAATTTTTGTTGGTTGAGAAAAGTTGGATTTTGCTGACTAAATTTTTGGTCGCTAAATATATCATTACTGCGACTAATCCATTTTGTCGCTAAAACACTTTGGTCGCGAAAAGTGATATTTTCCTGACCAAATATCTTAGTCGCCAATTGTCACATTCCACGACCAAACAGATTAGTTGCCAAAAGTAAAGGAATCGCCGACTAACAATTTAGTCGCCAAAAGGAAAGGAATAGCCGACCAACGATTTTAAAAGTGTAGAATTTGCCGACCAATTTTTTAGTTGCCAAATTTCTTTCTTTTCCTTTTTTTTTTTCAGAACAATCAATTTTTGTTTATAAACCTTCAATCCAATATCGAACAAAATTCATTCAACCCATCCACAATTAAGGAACAATAACATTTAAAAAGGAAAAAGCTTACAAACAATCATTAACAAATTTCTTTTCTTGTCTTCACTAAATCATCAAATAATAATTGAATTCCATCTACTAGTCTTATATGCAACTGATTCAATTGGGCAGAGTTCAGTTGTAATTTTTACCCCATGGAATGATTGCAATTACACAAAACAGTTTTCACTACAGGGAACAGATCTAAATGTGTACTTTCCAATACTGAACAAATTTAAATAGAAAAAGGTCTAATAAATTTAAGGTGGGAAATTTCTTCAAAGCAATATAATTTTGCATCAGGAAGATAGATCATAGAGTGAGGAGCACAAACAACCCTGGAGCAGCATGTCTTTTACACTATCCGCTCCAACTCCCTTGCGTAACTGAGTGTCTGGTTTATTAGTTGCAGAGACGGTATGTCCTTGCAAGGTGAAGATTGGTTTTCCCTATGGAAAATTACAAACCCATTCTTTATCTCCCACTCAGGATGCTCCTGCAAATTGCACATAAAACAATGCTTATCAAGGAGCCCTTAAATTGGACACTAAATAACATTACAAGGCTTCCATGTTGGTAGATTATGGTGGCGTCATTAATGTAATGATAATATGAATGACAAGACACCCATAATGCATCTATTGAAATTGAAAATCCCTATTCCCAAACAGAAATTGAAAATTTAAACTTTAAGGATTTGAAAGTAAAAAACCCTAAAGGAGGAGGGACCACATTGTTTTGAGAACAAGAATTTACTCACTACTGCTCTTGGCAGAAAGAACAACAATAAGAAGGAAATGAGCAAACCCCATTCTTTATCTCCCACTCAGGATGCTCCTGCAAATTGCACATAAAACAATGCTTATCAAGGAGCCCTTAAATTGGACACTAAATAACATTACAAGGCTTCCATGTTGGTAGATTATGGTGGCGTCATTAATGTAATGATAATATGAATGACAAGACACCCATAATGCATCTATTGAAATTGAAAATCCCTATTCCCAAACAGAAATTGAAAATTTAAACTTTAAGGATTTGAAAGTAAAAGACCCTAAAGGAGGAGGGACCACATTGTTTTGAGAACAAGAATTTACTCACTACTGCTCTTGGCAGAAAGAACAACAATATGAAGGAAATGAGCAAACCAAGAATGACTTTCAATTAGATGCTTAGTACTGCCCTTAAACTATAGACCATCAAAGCAGATCTAGCCAGTAATGCATTTTATTGATTAACAATAAGAATAAAAATGAGTTAAGCAGCAGGAAGTTTACCTCCTTGATATACTCAAAAAGTTCTTGGTCGGAAGAGAACATCAATAATTTTCGAGCATCATTAATTGAAAGTGAATCATAGGCCTCTTCACTGCATCCAGATATTTCATCTCTGCAAGAGACAATGAACTACTAAGCACACAAAATTGACCACTTATTCAAAATGAATATGAATTAGAGATGGGATGAACAATAAAAACAAGGTCTTTCAATTGAAGTGACAACCAATAACCCAAGAGTTGAAAACACATGATTACTTTCTGTTCTCATAAGAAGTAATTTTATGTGTGTATAAAATAAAATACATTGTCAGTGTTCCATACAAATTATGTGTACCATCGTCACTAACTTGATATTACGAACAAATGTAGGAAAAGAGAAAAGGAAACACAATAACCAAAACAAATATGTAGACTCACTCACCATAATGTGAATTTTAATGGGAAGTCAAAGTTGCTACCACGTAGATGACATGCATATAAAAAAGCAGTACTACTTGCATACATGAATTTGATTGGTATTACTATCACACAAAACACATTATTCGAGGTACAAATATTACCTAAACCAGATCAGATGAAGATATTGTTAGTAAGGATGAAGATTAGTTTCATTAAGAAGCCTAAAAATCCATGATTACCAATCCATGATTACCTAGTGGTAAGACCAAATGAGACAAAAATATTAGCTTTTGGAGAAGTGAAAACATACCTTCCCAATTATCGTTGGCTTTGAGCACTACAAAAACATATTTAGCTAAAGGTAGTAGGGAAATTGTGTACATTACTAGTGATAATGCCCCTAACAGATCAACATCCGACTTGATAGGCACCTTGCTAAACACATCAGTAAAGACATATAAAGGGTTTGTGCCCATGTCACCATATACAACATTGAGTGTTTGAGATGCCAGTGCAACAGTTTGCCAAAGGAAAGGATCCTGATTTTGAAGCAATTAAAATTACTTGAACCTGTAGTACTTATAAGACCACATTTCAAATTTGCCCTTTACCTAGGTCAAAACGTGTAGTACTTAGGAAATTGTGTACATTACTAGTGATAATGCCCCTAACAGATCAACATCCGACTTGATAGGCACCTTGCTAAACACATCAGTAAAGACATATAAAGGGTTTGTGCCCATGTCACCATATACAACATTGAGTGTTTGAGATGCCAGTGCAATAGTTTGCCAAAGGGAAGGATCCTGATTTTGAAGCAATTAAAATTACTTGAACCTGTAGTACTTATAAGACCACATTTCAAATTTTCCCTTTACCTAGGTCAAAACGTGTAGTACTTACAAAGAAACTTGATAGAAGTAATGATATTATGATCACCTAACTTCAGAGTTATGAATGGAGCGAATATCAGTAACTACATATGTAGAAAATAAGCATCTCAAATGATTTTGTTTTAATTATTTTATTTTTTATGACTGGTAGATTGAACCCCTATTTTCATACCCAATCACACTCTTAGTGAAAATCCAATAGCAAGTCTCTCAATGTGGTACTACAAGCCTGGCATTGAATCCAACTTCATCCAGTTAGGGAAGTTACGGGACCATTGTGTAGTCCATCACCACACCACTGCACCAATATATACATAATAACAGATATTTCCTTAAACTTTGAAATTCAACAATGGAACGATAAAACCCAAAATCTTCATTCCAGTCCATGATATAAAGCAAGGAAGTTCAAAATAAACATCACAAATTACAAATAAAATATTTCCAAAATGCCAGAGAGTAAGAATTAAGGAACCTGTGTGTGGAAAGGAAATTGATGTACAGAATATTTTTATTTACTGAATAGCTTCATGAGAACAGCAAGCTTTATGGCATTCAAATTTCCAAATGCACAATTGTGGGCATGGAAAATAAATATTTTAAACTAAAGAAGCTAGTGAGTAGAGTATGTTAAGAGATACTACCTGGTAGAGCATTTTTCTGTATAAAAAAAACACAGAAGAAGAAAGAATGGCTTCTGAAAACCACATCCTGTTAGTATGCAATTTGCTTGATTCTCCTTGATCGTTGATAGTCATGTTTTCCACCTAATAACATCCATTGTAAAGTTTTCAGTGGAGGTATTTCCTATGAAGCATATTCCCAAGGGTCATGAACTTGTAATTTTGGGCTTGGAAATAAATGACTTGTTGATGTTTAGTGTTTCTTAATCACTATATCTTGTGATTATTGTTCAAAAGTATCCGCCACCCCCAACACAGAGATTGTTTTTGCAAAATTACCATTGCGATTGCATAGAGTAGTTCAATTCTGGCAATTTCAAGTTCAGTCACAAGAAGATCAATATAGTTCCAACATAAAGTGGCATAATGTGGATTGTAATTGGAACTAAAATAGAAGAATAACCAATGCCGCATGCCCTAAACAGTCGCTTGAATTCATGCTGGCTTAAAAACTCATCTTCTTTAGCATTACTTCGAAACACACTCTTAGGCATGTATTATTATAGTTCTTCTGTTTCTTAGTCAATCACAAGAAAAGAGCACAAGAAAAAGTGTACAAATTGCTCCTAGACAATGGAAAGAAAGTGAAATTTGAAATCACTCTGTAACCATTTTGACTTGTTTAGAAGACGCTACTAAACCCTTTCAATTTCCATTAAACACTTACATCTACGGTGAAAAAGGACTTTTGTATGCCTAAACAAACACATTTGTGCACACAATCATTAGTTGTTACTTTCTTATGTATCAATTTAGGTTTAAATTCCCCAGTTAAAGCAAGGCCCAACTACAGGATCTAAATCATCTCCATCACATCATCAATGGTTGTGAAGAGCAAACTCAACATATCTTTATTTCCAATTCAAAAACAATTGAGAGAATTTAAAATTCTAAATGACAACAATTATAGACTGCTAATTTTGAATTTTAATATCAAAATTAGATAAATGATAAAATCGAAAGAAAAATGAAACTATACTAACAAATATACTATTAGAAGAGGAATAGGGTTTTAAATAAGTTGGGCTGTTTTTACCTTGGCATGGTGATCTTGAAAACTAGCAATTTCCATGGCTTCAACATCAAATGAATCAACCCTCTTGAGCTTCTTGACTAACCTTCTCTTGACAGATCTATACCCATCTCTAGATTCTCTACTCTCATTTTCATCAAGCAGTGACCATGGAGAGGACTCAGAGTCCACTTCACTGCCATCAACCCATTGGGCAGAGGCAGATCCATCTCCACCACCAGTTCTGCCCACCAACCTAACATTGATCTCCTCAATCCTTTCTTCTTCCATAGCCCCCAAATTCTACAACCTCAGCAACAATCAATCAAGAAATAAACCCAAATGGAATCAATCCACCATGTGTCTGGCACAACCCACTAAACCCTTCACTCTCAGCAATAGTCAATTAAGAAATGGACCAACTATAATCAATCCATCATGTTCTGGAAAAACCCACAAAACCTTCATTCTCAACAATAATCAATCAAGAAATTGACCAAAAATGGAATCAATTCATCATGATCCAGCACAACTCACAAAACCCTACACCCTAAACAATGATCAATAAAAAATGAACCAAAAATGCAATCAGTCCATCATGTTCTGGAGAAGGAAAAAGATGACAAACCTCTTCAAAATTTTTATATCAGAGCTTAAATCCCTCTCTCCGTACTAAAATTCGCCGCATTATATATATATATATATAGAGAGAGAGACTGAAGGCAAAGGCTAGAGAGGGAGAGAGCGAGAAGCAGAGAGAGAGAGACAGACAGACCGAGAGTGAGAGAGAACCTGTGAGGATGCGGCGGCGGCGGTGGCGCTAGCAGTGGCGTGCGACATTGGTTTGAGATGAGGTGAGATTGGGTGAGGATCTTCTAGAAATGAGGAGTCCATTAGACAGAGAGCGATGACGATTTGCGGCGGTGGCGATGTGCGACGGACGTAAGCAATGGTGGTGAGGGACTTCGGTGAGCTACATAGAGTGGGCACCGATTGAGAGAGAGAACACAGAGAGAGGGAAATAGCGGGCCAACATAGATAGACACAGAGAGCGAGCTAGAGACAGAGAAGAGATTAGGGCTTTTTTTTAATTTTTTTTCTATTTTCCTGGTACAAAACGACGTCATTTTACAATCGGCGGCCAAATTTTTTTGTCGCAAAAAAATTTCAATTCCCGCCTCCACATTTCAAATTTCCCTCCCAAACTTTTGGCGACCAAAAGACCAGATTAGTTGTAGAAAAGGTACCTTCACTGACAAACTTTTTTAGTCGCCAAATCTCAATCAACGGCGACTAAAATATTAGTCGCTAAAAGTACTAATTTGGTGACTAATTTTTTTCTGGTTGCTGAAAATAAGTTTTTGGCGACCAAATTTTTAGTCGCCAAAGAAAAAAAAATTTATTTTCCATTCAGCGACTAAATTGTTTTAGTAGCCAAAACTCAATATACGGCAACTAAAATATTTTTGGTCGGGGAAAATAAGTTTTTGGAAGATTTTTTATTTTATTTTTTCTACTTGTGATTAGAATAATGCTATATGTACCAATTAATGTAATAATAGATGATGTGGCATAATTTTAGAGATTTTGGGTATTTGTAATTTGTATAATAGGTGGGGTCAGTAATACTAATAAACACTAGTTGGTATATTAGTGTGTATATTAATTGGTATATGTAACACCACCGTTGTGATTAATTAGAGACTTCTATTCAATACTTCAATTTTAATTTATATGACCTGACCAATATATATATATATGGGCTGCTTGGAAAGAAAAATACATAAATTATGTAAAGGATCTGTTTACACCTGGTATAATAGTTATCCCTCGGGAACTTTTTTTTGTACATTTCATCTCTTGCAAATGGCACCATTGGATTACATTACTCTTTTTTGTGACCTTTATGTTTGTTAGATTTCAAGTTGATTGGAAATCAAGACCTCTTCCATTCATATAGCTTTCAAATTTAGAGTTTACTATACATTAAAAGTCAAGTGTATGTATACTGACATATGCTATATTTAATGCTTGGTTGAATTGGTACATTTATCTTGCGGTCACTAAAGAGCTGACCTACATCTTCCTTGCTGGCTCTGCAATGTAGTTTTTTTTATTGTAATTGTATAATACTCATATTCTATTACATTTCTGTTACATCAAACCCAGTTTTCATTGATTTCTCTCGGTAGATGCTTTTAGCTGGTAATGAATGACCTTACTTGCTGCCATCTGCTATATTTTGTTTTTTCCTTTTTGGGTTTTTTGCTAGAAGAGTTTGAATATGAATTTTTGTGGATTTTTTCATTGTGTTGTGTCATTGAATCCAGAATTATTAGTGCCCGTTGGGTTGTTTCCAAAATTGTGAATCAAGCCATATTAGAATTGACTTATTCATGTGTTTGGTTGTAAACTGAAACAACAAAAAAATCTAGATAATTCATTTGTTTGTTTCCTTAACCCCTTTTATTTTGTATGCCGCTCTGAAACCATGAAGTTGAAGTTTCCTCTGTATTACTATTAGCTGTTTGAAATGAATTGAATGCTCATGTTTCATTATATATATATTTGTTTAAAATAACTTTTAGCTATAGACTCTGATATTGGTAGAAATCATGAATGTGATAAACTGATACTCTGATGCTCTCTCTATTACTGAGTTTTTGCTTTTATAGCTTAGAAAATTATGTCCCTAATGCTAATCACTGCGAGTTGTATAAGAATAAGATGACAAAAACATGCAAAAAGAAACAATCTGCAATTAGCTAGAGTAATCTGGATGATACTTAAAACTTTTTTTTATTCAGACAATTTATTCATTAGTTATTACAGAAAATCAGTTGTACGTATACTTTTTATTGTTTATTCATACATATGACTCATATGCCCATGATAGAACATGTCTAGTTGTTATACTTGGCCTTGTAATCACTCCAGAGTTGATCAACTGTCTTGCCCAGCAGCTGAACAAAGTAGTCAGCACTATAACCGTTTCTTATCTTCTTGTTAAGTTCTGCCACAAACCCATTTTTCAGACTATCACAATAGTCCAGGAATCGGGCTGTAACATCGTAACCTTGGTCCCACCGGTCTCCCTGCCCGGGTTGCACCCAGTGACTTGGTGCATATCCAGCCTTCAACCTCACATAATCTGCAACACCTTCTATGAGTCCTCCAGGGGCAGCGGTTTGGGGTCTCCCGTCCCACTGCCACACGTGCGTCATCTCATGATACACCACCCCGGTGATCTCAGTTTTAACATCTCCTGAGTAGCTTTGTATGTAATTCGCGCTAACGTGGATCTCATTGTTGCTCGTGTAGGCGACACCATCCATGCTGTCGATGAACAGGCTCACTTGAGCAACGTTCTTTCTGTCTGCGTCGGTGTTCTCCTGGAAGGCGTTCCATATGAAATTCGTGGCGGAGATTAGTGTTTGCTTGGTGTAATCGAGCCCGATTTCATTTGTGAACCGGATTCCTCCGGGGGTAGTTGGAACGTTGTTGGTGACACTGAACTCAACTGCATGTGTTTCTTGCATGGTGGCTACTAGAATCACTAGAAAAGAAAGGAACAACATCATATTAGACATGACTCTATATTGTTCTCTATTTTTTTTGTTGTAGTCTGGCTTTGCACTATTAGATGATTTATATAGAGATCCGTGGCCTCTGATTAGCTGGTAAGAATAGTTTTTGTTTTTTGTTTGGTGTAAATTGCACTTTGCACCTTACTCTTTACATTTAATCCCATTTTCAACTTTCACCTTTCAATTATAACAGTTAAATTCTTACATTTATAGTCAAATGCTAATGTTATAGCTGAATTCTAGATCCATTACAAATATTGACATTGGCACTTGACTACAAATGTAGGGATTTGATTACTACAATTGAAAAGTGGGGCATAATGAGATTGGTGTAAAATGAGGGGTGCGAAGTGTAATTTTTTTTAGTCTTTCATTCTTTTTCTTTTCTTTTCTCTCCTACCAAACATGACATAAAGGTGGACCAGCTGGTCTTTGTACTATAAATTAATCTGGTCATAAGGATTAGGTTAGGCCATTTGTTTGTGGAAAAATTAAACAAAAAGCAACAAAGCGAAAGTTCATGTTTGACACATTGATGGTGGACGGTTGCACACGGAGGACAACACTTTAGACTTGTAACTTTTTCCAACTCGGCAAATAGGGTCTCAGAAATAATCAGTAATGTTAAAACAAAATTTATTTAAAAATTTAATTTACCGCATGGATTCATTTCAAATGTAGGTTCTACTGTACAAAAATTGAATATGAAAGTGCAAATGTATCCAGAGTTAAGAATGGGTTTTCCATTCTCTTCTTTTTCTTTTTTGTCCTTCCAAACATGGCATAAAGGTGGACCAATGGGTCTTTGTTCTAGAAATTAAACCGGCTACAAGGATTAAGTTAAAAATAGAAAAAAACAGAAAACAAAAATTGCAATGGAATATGCTTTATATAAGGAAGACCTTGACTTGGACTTTTTGCCGACATGCCAAACGGGCCTCTAGAAATAATTTGCGACCGTTCAATAAGTCCGCACCCCAAGATTGAGAAATTTGATCACATTTTACTGGGTACACGTACAACTGCATCCATATTGGAGGTGATTAAATGTGAGAAATATTTTGAGTACAACTTGGGTATATAATATTCAATGATAGGTGTGTTTTGAATATTTTTGTAAGTACATCAAGGCATAATATAATTTTTAAAAAATTATCAGGGTACTGAAACAATTAAATTGTTCTTATTTTTATTTTTTTTTAAATATAGAGAATTTTTACAATTATCAAAAATATAAAATACTTTGGTTTTTATTACCATTATGAAAATACTTTAATTTTTTTTTTTTTTTGCATTTGAATTTTTAATTTATATATATACTATGAATTATAAAAAAAAATATAGACGTATCCGACCATACCTCTATCCTCTTATTTATTTATTTTAAAAATTTTACAGTATTACAAGGTATCAAACACATCCCTTTCAGGACGGGGTTTCGTAGGAAATTGATCATAAGATGTTATGAGCCGTGCGAAAACATAAGTTCAGAACACACGTAATCGTGTACCTGTCTAAACAAGTTTTTGATGGGATTTTTTTATTTAGAATTGTTTTAATTCAAGAAATTTATGAAGGAATTTTTTAATTTATTTAGTTTCATGTATGCATGCTTTTATTTTATAAAATTCTTTTTCTTGATTTACACTATTTTTTTAGACACTTATACCCTTATATTTAATTTTGATACCCTTATAAATATTTTTGAACGGTTAGCAATTTTATGATGTAAACATTCATATTTTAAAATTCACATTGGTAGGAATGTAAAATTAGCCCGTGGACGGCCTGAAACCTGCCCGCAAACCGGGGCGGGCCCGGCCTGTTGACAATGTGAATATTCACATTGACATTTTTTTTTTTTTGTTACAGGAAAATCCTCTCTACCCTCCCGCAGGTCCAAGGCAGCGCCCCTTGCAGAAATCACCAAGGTGTCCTGTTAGTCGTTCCGAGCGAGGAGATTATAACCTGGGAACTTGCCCTGACCTCTCAAGATAAGCACCGCTTAAGTTAGGACTCGCACAGCGGGGGAGTATTGAACCCACACCAAGTGCTGACTAGACAACTTGAGGTCCAACCTCCTAACCAACAGTGCTTCACCCAGGAGATTGGCCCAATGAGGGAATTGAACTTGTGACCTTGGGGCTTAAACCCCAAGGCCTTACCACAATGCTATAACCCCTTGGGTTCACATTGACATGTTAACATTCACATTAATAAGAGTGTAAAATTGACAAGCGTCCCGTGGCGGCGCAAAACCCGTCGGCGGCCCGGGGCGGGCCCGGTCCGACCCGTTGACAATGTGAATATTTACATTGAAATATTAACATTCACATTGATAATAGTATAAAATTGGCCCGCGGCCCGGGGTGAGCCCGGCCCAGTCCGTTGACAATGTGAATATTCACATTGACATGTTAACATTCACATTGATAGGAGTGTAAAATTAGCCCGCGTTCCGTGGCTGCCCGAAACCTGCCCACGGCCTGTGGGCAACTCAGGGCGGGCCCGGCCCAGCCTATTAACAACGTGAATATTCACATTGATATGTTAACATTCACATTCATAAGAGTATAAAATTGGCCAGCGGCCTAGGGCGAACTCGACCCGACCCGTTGACAATGTGAATATTCACATTAACATGTTAACATTCACATTGATAAGAATGCAAAATTGGCCCGCCGCCCGAAACCATCCCGTAGCCCGTGGGCTGCCCGGGGCGGGCCCGGCCTGGCCTTTTTACAATGTGAATATTCATATTAACATATTAACATTCACGTTGATAGGAGTGTAAAATTGACCCGCTGCCCTTAGGCGGCCCGAAACCAGCCTGCGAGCTCGGCCCAGCCCGTTTACAATGTGAATATTCAAATTGACATGTTAACATTCACATTGATAGGAATGTAAAATTGGCCCGCGGCCCGAAGCCTGCCTATTGCTCGGGGCGGGGCGGGCTGTAAATATTCATATTTTAACATTCACATTAGTAAGAATGTAAAATTTGCCCGTGACCCATGGGCAGTCCGAAGCTCGCCCCCGAGCCGGGGCGGGCCCGATCCATTGACAATATGAATATTCACATTAACATGTTAACATTCACATTGATAGAAGTGTAAAATTGGCCCGCGGCCCGTGGGCCGCCCGAAACCCGCCCGCGGCCTGTGGACTACCCGGGGCGGGCCCGGCTTGGCCTGTTGACAATGTGAATATTCACATTAACATATTAACATTCACGTTGATAGGAGTATAAAATTGACCCGCGGCCCGTAGGCTGCTCGAAACCCGCCCGTGGGCCCGGCCCGACCCGATCCGTTTACAATGTGAATATTTACATTGACATGTTAACATTCACATTGATAGGAGTGTAAAATTGGCCCGCGGCCCGTGAACGGCCTGAAACCCGCCGGCGGGCCCTGCCCGGCCCATTTACAATGTGAATATTCACATTGACATGTTAACATTCACATTGATAGGAGTGTAAAATTGGCCCGCGGCCCGTGGGCAGCCCGAAGCCAGCCCGTTGCCCAGGGCGGGGCGGGCTGTAAATATTTATATTTTAACATTCACATTGGCAAGAATGTAATTGGCCCGTGGCTCGTAGGCGGTCCGAAGCTCTCCCTGGGCCGGGGCGGGCCCGGTCCGTTGACAATGTGAATATTCACATTGACATGTTAACATTCATATTGATAGAAGTGTAAAATTGGCCCGTGGCCTGTGGGCTGCCCAAGGCGGGCCTGGCCTGGCCTGTTGACAATGTGAATATATACATTAACATATTAACATTCACGTTGATAGGAGTGCAAAATTGACACGCGGCCCGTAGGCAGCCTGAAACCGGCACGCGGGCCCGGCCCGGCCCGTTTACAATGTGAATATTTATATTGACATGTTAACATTAACATTGATAGAAGTGTAAAATTGGCCCGCGGCCCGGAGCGGGTTCGACTTATTGACAATGTGAATATTCACATTGACATGTTAATATTTACATTAATAGGAGTGTAAAATTGGCCTGCGGCCCGGGACAAGCTCGTTTGGGCCTAAGCCCAGCCCAAGAACTTGGACTAGGACCTGGGCCATCACTTTGAAGCTTGGCCCGCATGAGGCCCATTTAAGGCTCGGCCTGAGGCCCGGTGTCTTTTTTGTGGAAAATAATAAAATTTTGGGAGAAAAAATTAAAAAGAACTAAAAAAATGGTGAGGCTCACCCAAGCTCGACCCAAGCCCAAGTCTAGGCCCAAGCCCCTTGGCTCGACCCACCGGGGCACCCAAAGCCTGAATACCTTTGTGCCAGGGATAGGGCCTAGGCCTAATTTTTTTGCTCGTGGGCTGGTCCAGCCCGACCCGAATTTTGGCAAGCACCCACGAGGCTTTACATGGGTTGGCCCCGTCCCGGACTGGGCCGAGCCCTTACACATTGATGATATGAACATTCACATTGACGGTGTGAACATTTACATTGACAGTGTGAACATACACATTGACAATGTGAACATTCACATTAGAGGTATTTTGGTAATTATGTCACCCATAGGATGTGAACATTCACATTAGGGGTATTTTGGTAATTATGTCACCCATAGGACTTATTGAAACATAAGAAAATAATGTGGACTAAATGGAACATAAGTAGATGAAAAGGGTATTTTGGTCTTCTTACCTCAAATATGGACATTCACATTGACGGTGTGAACATTCACATTGACGGTATGAACACTCACATTGACGATGTGAACATTCACATTAGGGGTATTTTGGTAATTATGTCACCCATAGGACTCATTGAAACATAAGAAAATAATGTGGACTAAATGGAACATAAGTAGATGAAAATGATATTTTAGTCTTCTTACCTCAAATAGGACCTAATAAAATAGTCAAAAAGAATATGAATTGGATAAAATAAAACTCTTAAAAAAAAAATTTATCCAAAAAAACTCCCGTTTTTTATTTGTCCATTGTATTTCTTCTTTTTCAACCCATATAATAAACATTTAATTCCTGTCATTATCCGAGTAAACAATGTACAAATAAAGTGACAAAAAAACTAATATCATATCATGTCCTATCATGTATATATATATATAGGTCATATATTTTAAAGACTTATTTTTAAAAAAAAAAATCATATCTGAATGCATTTTTCGTTTACATATTAGATATTAAAGATATTTTTTTTTATTTTTTTGTCTATCTTATTAATGTCTTAGGATTAATTTATATTGAGTTTTGTATTTAACATGAAATTCTTTATTATAAAACATTTATATTTAATTTAAATTTTATATACTTATATACAATACGTATGACTAATTCAAAAAGAATATTAAAGAAAAAAAATCAATATTCTACTTAGTTAATTTATGTATTTTTTTCTCAATCCAATCATAACATATTTATATTTAATCTTTTAAATAAATTTTGTGTAGTTCTATTTCTATATATTTATTATCCAAATAAAAATAAAAATAAATATTTAGAATCACTTTTAATTTTATATTACTAATTCTCTTTCTAATTTAACTATTATTTTCTAGAAAATTAGTCTAAGGTTATTTTTCTATTTTTAATAATAGAAGAGATTCACAATATTATTTTATGATGTCTAAGGTTCTTTAACCCCATACCCATATATCACAGAGAAATTTGAGAAGAAACCAAAGGGCTTCAAAAACTATCTCCGAGAGATCTGAGCTTTGGTCTCTCTTTCTCTCTCTTCTCTTTCTCTCCTACATCAATGGCGTCTGCGTTGATACCCAACGGTGATTTCTCCGCCGCCGTCAACCACCTATGTTGCTTCTATCTACAGTAAGGTTCTGTCTCGATCACTTTCTTCCTTCCCCTTCTGTTCTCAAAAGTTCTTTCAAGGTCGTCTATGGTCCCCCTAGCTCTGTCACGAGCAATCCAGGTTTTCACTTGTATTTCTAGATTTGATTAAACCATTGTTCGATCTCTGATTTCTTCTCTCTCTCTCTAGATTTGTGCTCTCTCTTCTCTTTTTGCTACATTAATGGCGTCAGAGCTTTGATCTGATCTGAGCTTTGTTCGATCTCTGATTTCTTCTTTTTTCTGGTAATCTGAATGGTAAATCAAAAATCCAAGTCCGAAACTTGAATCATTCATGTACTGTGCGTTTTACAATGACCTTGATTGTTTACTTGAGAATATTTGATAAAAGCATTTTCCAATCTCTGTTTTCCTTATGTTTCTGGTAATTTTCAAAATTTCAATTTTCTCTAGTTTGGAGAGAATTTCTCTGGAATTAGAAAATTCTTTGGATAGAATTTTCTCTGGATTGATTTGAGGGACCTTAGACATTATGAAAATATTAGATGTCTTTTATGCTATAAAATCTTAATACTAGTGACTCTAAAAAAAAATTCCCTTATTTTAAATATCAAAATGAGAGTTTGTTTTATATCGTATAATTTAGTATATATCATACAAAATCATTATATGATAATTACGCTTTTATAGCACTATAAAACTAAAGTTCTCAAAATTAACAAATAATTTAACTAAATTTATTATTTATAAATATTCAAGGAACACTTTTATAGAACGATATGGCTTAGATTATTAAAATAAATAACTTAAATTTAAAAATTATTTTTAATTAAAATTAATATTATTCTTTTGTAATACATATCATAATATAAAATATCATTACATTAATTAAAATTAACTCCATTGTGATTTTATGTTAGACATCATATTTCTAGAAGTAATGTACATAAACGTGTAGCGTCCAATTTGATATTGATTAATTAAAATAATGGTACTCAATATTTTTTTGTTAAGTTTTAGAAGATAAATTGACAAATGCCAAATGATAAATAGTATGGAGTATTATTTTGAAGAATAATGATTCATAAAAAATGATTGTGTATATTTAAAGTACCTATTGATGTTTCTTGAATAATTTTTAAATAATTTTTTTTGAATTTATAGTATTACTAATAATGCACCTTCATGAGCTCTGCCAAAAAAGTTATGCAAAAATAATTTGACAGGAATAAAATATTTACGGTTATTATGATGTATCACATAATTAATCAGAACTCTTTTGAGAACTGAAACTATTAAGTTTATAGAAATTTTGTGCCTGATTTCCTTTGAGGACACTGTTTATTATTTGAATTTGTAATTTTTTATGCATTAATGTGAATAGCTCTTATGATCTTATTATATAAATATAAATCCTATCTTTGAATCAACCCGCTTTAAGCACTTTTTTCGTGTAATAAAATAGTTAGATATTGTCATATAAAAATATTATAATAAATCATAATCAAACACTACTTTAAATATAATTAAAGACTCGATGCACCACTTTAGATATAACAAAAAATATAAGAAATTAGCAAAGAGCTTTTCGATTAATAATAATAAAAATACACAATGAGTTATAATTAAGTCACATGTATATTATAGAATTTTTTGTTGTTTATTTATTCGATTAATAATAATAAAAATACACAATGAGTTATAATTAAGTCACATGTATATTATAGAATTTTTTTGTTGTTTATTTATTCAAATTTTTTTTTTTTGGATACGAGTAGAATTTATGATTTTTGATAAATTTGATTAACACAAATGAGGATTTGATTTCAAATTAAGAATATTCTTTTTTTTTAAAAAACTTTGAAATAAATTATTTTTACGAACTTTTTGCATAAGATCACACACATAGTGACAAAAATTTTCATTAACCATTAGAAAATGGGCAAGTTACAAACACTCTCTTAAGGTTTGGTGAAAATACAGATTCCCTCCTGAGATTTGAGAAATTACATCCCGCCCCCTGAGATTTATATTTTCATAACAAATTACCCCTTAAGATTTTTATTTTCATACAGATTCTCTCCTAATTTTTCTTAATTTGTTATGAAAATTTGACCCTTAGGGGGTAATTTGTAATTTCTCAAATCTCAGGGGGGAATCTATATTTTTAGCAAACCTCAAGGGAGTGTTTGTAATTTGCCCTTAGAAAATCTATTTGTATTTGACTTTCAATTATTAAAATTTTTTAAACCAAAAATATTAAGACACAAAATCAATTTTCCATTTAAAAAATAAATTTTCGTGTATCGCACAGGTTGCCTATGAGTGGGGGTGATCGCGGTTCGATTTTGAATGGTTTGCGGATTGGTTTGGACCCACCCACATGTATGCAGTTTAGAAAAAATTTAACCCACAACCGCTCGTAGTGCGGGTTGCGGTTTGTGCAGATAGGGTTTGCGGATAGGCGGTTGTGGACGGTTTGCATATTGGATTTTTTTTCTTTAAAAATTCATTTTGGAGCTTTTTTTTTTTCTCTTCATTTTGTAAATATTTATTTTGTGTTCTTTTCTCCCCATTTTCTAAAATGCTCAAACATTAATAATTCATGAATTAAAACTTATAAAATTAAAAACACAACAAAATCAATTTCTAACACAAACAAATCATTCAAAATTCTAATCCTTTAAATTAAATCATAAACTAACACAAATACATATTTCAAAATCCTAAACTAGATCATCAATCTCATTCACTATCTACTACCCAACAATATAATTAAAGTAAAATTATTTAAAATCCTAAGCTTACCTAGAAGTAATTCTTCATTAACTTTTACATTCATCCAATATGTAATAATAAAATAACAACGGTGCAATTTTTTTTTTTTTTTTTTTTTTTTTTGGTCTACTTGTGGGCAGGTTGTTGCGGGTGCGGGTGAAACCCGCAACCCACAATCATGCCATATTCCAAACTGCATCTATCCACATTGTGTTTGCAAAACTGCCAAGTTATATGTGGATCGGTTCGAGTTAACGTTCGGATGACCTTATGTCCAACCCTACCCGCAAGTTCAGTTACAAAGAGTGAATATTTGTGAGAAAATTCTCATGATAGAGTTTTATTAATATTTTTTTTGGCTGATAGAGAGATCAAATGGTATATTCATTTGTTGGCAGCTCTTGGAGGATTAAAACCATGATTACTACTTTTCAATTGGCTATTTTGGCATTAATTACTACCTCATCAATCTTCAATCTTACTGATTGGTGTATCAGTTGTATTTGCTTTTCCTCGTAGCTGGTCAAGTCACAAAAATATTGTATATTTCAATACATTATCATATTTTAATGGACTGAATTAATTTTTTTAGTGGGTCAGCATTCATAATTCTCTCATCGCTTGAATCTATTCAAGAAGATTATGACATTGAATGAAGTCCATTTGACAAAATCATGCAAAAAGAAAACAAACTGTAAAATTTACAAAAACTAATCTTTTAATTTTCTTTTATTCAGACAATTTATTCACTCTTTCGTAATACAATGTATTGTCAATTTTGAAAAATGCTAGAGGTTCCAAATTTTCTACCAAATAAATGACCAAATGTCTCACATAGGTGTGGGGCCCACAAAATTGCGGACCCCACACCCATGTGAGACATTTGGTCATTTGTTGGGTAGAAAATTTGGTGTCCCTAACATTACCCGTCAATTTTTATTCATACATATGTCTCTCATCGCTTGAATCTATTCAAGAAGATTATGACATTGAATGAAGCCCATTTGACAAAATCATGCAAAAAGAAACAACTTGTAAAATTTACAAAAACTAATCTTTCAATTTTCTTTTATTCAGACAATTTACTCACTCTTTCGTAATACAATGTACTGTCAATTTTTATTCATACATATGGCAATAAATGCTCTAATTGTTATACTTGGCCTTGTATTCACTCCACAACTGGTCAACTGACTTCCCCAAAATCTCCACAAAGAAGTTGTCGCTGTAACCATCTCTCAACTTCTTGTTAATTTCGGCCACGAATCCGTTTTTCAGACCATTACAGTAATCGAGAAACCACATCGTTACATCGTAACCCTGGTCCCACCGGTCACCCTGCCCCGGCTGCACCCAGTAACTCGGGGTGTACCCGGCCCTCATCCTCACAAAGTCCGCAATTCCTTCTATCAATCCAGAGGGGCCCTGCCCATTCCCGTTCCACTGCCACGAGTGGACCACCTCGTGGTACAGTACTCCGGTGATTTCTCTTTTAACGTCACCGGAGTACCCTTCTATGTACTTCGCGCTGACGCGAATGTGGTCGTTGCTGCTGAAGGCGACTCCATCTATGTCCTCGATTGATAAATCGAGTCGTGGGGTGGTCCTTCTGTCTGCCTCGGAGTTCTGCTGGAAGGTCCTCCAGCAAAACTCTGTGGCGGTGGCTAGTGTTTGTTTGCTGTATTCGAGCCCAATTTCGTTGGTGAATCGGATTCCTCCGGGGGTGTTTGGGACGTTGTTGGTGGCACTGTATTCGACTGCATGGGTTGCTTGCAAGGTTGCTAGAGAAACTAGGAAAGAAATGAAGAACATCATGTGAGCCATGACTCTGAATTGGCTTTTTTAGTTTTGTTGGCTTTGTGTTATAAGATTGTTGTTTGTAAGATCCTTTATATAGAGATTGGTGGTCTAGGATCTGCACTAACGGATGGAGAGAAAAGGAAGAGATAAGTGAGGGGAAAATGACTAAAAAATAAATAAATTGCTTTTACCTAGAAAGAGTGGAGATTGGGAGAGATTAGGTATGCCCAATACTTTTCAAGTATTTGCGCCTCATGACAAATATTACATATCAAAATTTTATTTATAAAAAAATCATTATGTATGTGATCCAAATTAATTCTCTCTATACATGTTTAATACTTTAATTTAATTTCAATCACACGTCATTGTCGATTGCGATTTTGTTGACCACCCTCTTCATAGGTAGGCAGAAAAACTTTTCAATCTAGTATTTTAAATAAGTCACTTGATAGATATTAAAAAGGGAATTTTTTGGATAAATTCTCTTTTTAAAAATTTTATTGCATTCAACTCATGTTCTTTTTGACTATTCCATTAGATTCTATTTGAGATAAAAAGACCAAAACATCCTTAATTTCTCCTACCCCTATTAATATTTATATTTAATGTTGATTATCATTATGTTTTGGTAGTTTTCATGCATCAGGATGTTAACTGTCATTACATTCATATTAATTTGAAATAAATTTTTTTCATTGTATTGTCAATTACATGATGTGAATATTTACATCATGTAATTGAAATGAATATTCACATTAATTTGAAATGAATTTTTGTCATTGTATTATCAATTACATGATATGAATATTCATACTAAAACATACGAATGTGAACGTTCACATCACTACATTAGATGAGAGAAAATGTTCATATGTTGTGAACGTTCACATCAGTACATGTTGTGAATAAGAATGTGTTGTCAATTAAAAATATAATGAACGTTATTTTTAATGTGTTGTCAATTAAAAATAAGAAGATTCACATATTGTGAACATTCACATCACTACATTAGATGAGAGAGAATTTTTCGAAAAAGTGTTGTGAACGTTTACATCAGATGAGAGAAAATGTTCACATTATTTTTAATGTTTTTTCAATAAAAAATATATTCACAATATATAATAATATAAAAGAATAACATCAATATTATTTATTTGTGTATGAAATTTCCTATACATTAGTCATTTCCCTCATCTCTCCTCCTCGTAACATTATATATCAATATTAAATATAAGTATATAAGAGTCTAAGAAAATAGTGTAAATTAAAAAAAAGACTTTATAGAATAAAAGTATAAATACATGGGACTAAGTGGGTTAAAAAATTCCTTTATGAACTTCTTGGGTTAGAACACTTCTAAATGAAATTTATTAATAAAAATCCCTATTAAGAATTTTGTGCACTCAACTCACTTGAATTATATATCGTCATTTTGTATTATTGTTTACATGATATTCATGATTGACTCCATTATTTAAAAAGTAATAAAATTAAATAATTACTAAGTATCTTCATAATATATAACAATGCTCATTCAATATTATTGGTGAAAAATTGAAAAAAAATGGCCAAAACCCTGAAAAACTGGTGCAACGGTATATTTTTATGTTGACTGAGATACATTCATAGAGGAAAGTTCCAAGTTACAAACCTTGACTTGGTCTTGGACTATAGGCTTTATTTTTTTTTATTGTAATATATATATATATATATATATTGGGACTTGATGGGCCAAGGTTAACCGTGGCGAACCGGGCCTCTTGAAATGATTTGCAATGCGACCATTCAACGAGAAAAAGTCAAGAGGACACGCCATGGTTGAGACTCCAGAGAATGGGTCGCAATTCACTTATTTATATATGAATAATGCTAGACACCTCAAATATTTTACTTAAAGTTTTACTAAATGTCTCACATGGGTGTGGGATCCACACAATGTGGGTCCCATGTGGTCTCACACCCACATTTGGTAAAACTTTTGATAGAATTTTTGGAACCTCTAACATTTTTGTTTATATATATATTCGGGTGTCCGAATAAGCTAACACTTATTAAAGTCTTGAAATTAACAATTGATAAAATTTTCAACGAGCTTAAAATTTAAAACATTTGACTTTTGTAAGATTTGACTATATAACTTCTTAAGTGATAAATCTTTTAATTATCTCTTCTCTTATTAAACTAAATCTTATGGGATTGACTTTCGTAAGATTTGACAATATGATTTCTTAAGTGATAAATCTTTTAATTGTCTGTTATCTTATTAAACTAAATCCTATGCTGTTCAAATTCTTTTTTCAACGTTAAAGATAAGGTCATATTCATATTCCTTCTTCATTGGATCGATTCCATGATTTGGATAGGCTTATTTGAAATTTGTGACAATAAAATAATTTGGATATTGGTTTAGAGTGATAATTTTTTGTTTTGATACATTACATGATGTGGCACTAATCAAGTGCCATTTTTTATTTTCGAAAAAAGATTTATTTGTCATTGCAAAAAAGCACTTGATGATATGCTACTTAGCGGCTCCTTGCCATGTTTTTATTATATATATATATATATATATAGATTAGCTTAGACTAATTAATCAAATTTTAAGTATAGATTTCAAATATATATTGGACCTTCGGGAGTTCCTTAATTACCCAATACATTGTATAATATGTGTTGTGCTTAGGAGGCAGAAAACAAACACACACAAACAAGAACACACAAAGATTTACGTAGTTTGGTAAATCGCCTACGTCCACGGGTAACGGATTTTACTATGTGGAGATAAATACAAAGATTTTAACAATGGAGGAGGAGGAGGCGGAGGAGGAGGAGACAATACTTTCACTTTACTCATACTCACATTCACTCAGTTGCTTACACTCTCTTCTGATTGCCACACCGAACCCCTCCCATTCACTGACCATTTATAGATGCAATGGAAAAGTGAAAGTCTTTAACAAGCTACCGACAACATTTGTGGCAGCCACCAACAGGATCTAAAAATTAGCCACCCTACCATAAAGTAGCTCGATTGAATCTTCAGTTTCTTCATTTGCCTTCAATCAGCAGCCATTGTTGACAAAGAAAATCAGAGCCAATCTTCAACAAATAGCCACCTTGGCGAGGATTCTCTATCCAATATAGTAATCGATCAACACTGCCACACACCCAAAGATGCTCAGTTCCGAGAGATGTTGACCAAGTCCAAAAAGTGTTGGAACTTGATCCTAGAAACCACTTTTGTGAGCATATCAGCCATGGCTGGCCCTAAGATTTATGGGGCCTTAGGCGGGTTTTGAAAGTGAGACTCTCCTACATATATTATTTTATAAAAAAAATTATGGATAAAATAAAAAGTTGTCAATAATATTTTTTATTATTTAGTAGCTACAAAAAGTTTCCTTATACATATAATTATTCAAATTTATTTTCATATATTAAGATATAAAAAATTCATTACAAAGACTCAAAAAAGATAAAATAGGGTCTTGTTGTTTTATAGTTTAACAATAATCAATACAAACAATTTACTAATAGATAACGAAATGATTATGTTATTATAATATGATATCTGATAACATAATCGCAATCCACACAAATCACAATCCACTAATTATTTGATAACAAAACACAAATTATTGAAAAAAAAAATGGGAGAAAAAACTAAGGCAAAATTATTCAATTAAATTATGATAAAGAGAGAGGACAAGAAAATTAGGACAAACAAGATTAGGGAAAAGAAATTAGGGTAAAATTATTCAATTAAAATATGATAAAGAGAGATGGCAAAAAAAATTAAGATAAAGTTATTTATTCTATTAAATTCTTGACACTAGACTCTATTTGGACTCATTATATCATATATATTTGTTTGGATTAATTATATATATTTTTAATTGAGCCTAACAATGATTATATATATATTAATTTGGCCCAACAGATTTTTTTGAAGGCTTATTACACTGGGTCTCAAACAATAAAAAAAAGATTGGATTTTGAACTTTTAATCTAATATAAAACTAAAAATTTGGAGTCTTATTTTGGGCTAAAATTTGGAGCCCTAGGAACAGGCTTTAGTGGCCTTAGCTAGGGCCGGCCCTGACAGTACTCTAGAAACCGCACTGTAAAATCATAACCTTGACCCCACCTCTTACCGGTTCCCGGCTTTGCGAAAGCTGGAGGATATTAGTTGGCCTTCAATATCGTATAATCCGCAATACCTATTTGGGGAATTTTAATTAAAATCAAAGTATTGTTTATGTAGTGTGTGATTACAAAATCACCACATAGCAGTTACATATATTAATTGAGACTTTATATGTTTCAATAAGTTTTTGTAATAACGCGACTCCCAAACTCTTACACGTTATATTAGGTTTAACTGTAATTTAATTTTGTTTATCATATCTGGTTTATTATTTTGCTAGACTAACGATACCATCGGTGAGTCCACCGGGAGCCTGGCCATTCCCGGACCACTGCCAAATGTGAGTCATCTCATGATAAATCAAAGAAGTGAACTCCCACTTCAAATTTCCCTAGTATCCCAACAAGTACATAGTACTGACATTGATAGTGTTGCCATATCCCATGGCTTCAGCGCCTTAGTAGTTCTCGATCGTCATCAGAACATCTTGTTAGTCCTTCCTCTCTGCAGCAGTGTTTTCCTCAAACATCTTCCATATGAAGTTTGTGGTGGTTTCCATTGTCTGCTTTGCAAACTTGACCCCGATCTCTTTCGTGTGCTCCGCCTGGGGTTGTTCCGGCTACGTTGTCGACTTCAAATTGGACAGAAACAATGGATTCTAGGACTGCTAGGGCTAGCAGACAAGATTGGAGAAGAGATGGGTAATAAGCCATGGCTATCCTATGTTGTACAATGGTTTATGTGATTAGCTATCTTATATGGAGCTAGATCAACATGTATTTACAAAGGTGACTAAAAGTAGATTGGGCGATTTATGTAAAGATTTGCCATGTTTATTCATGTGGATATGAAATTAATAGCTTATACATGTCAGTCATTAAATTCGTGCACATGGATCTAGAAATTGTACAAGGGTTATGATAAAAATTATTAGATTTTTTAGGGGCTAAAGTAAAATTTATATATATTTTGAGAGTTAAAATGCTAAT